CTACCACAACAACATAGTGAAGAACACGTGGAAGCTGAGCAGTTCTATGAGGGTCACCAAGACGGGTCACCGCTTGACTTGGTGGTACATGGACGGATGCCGTCTTCGAGAGCCGAGGGTCGTGGTCGACAGTGAGTTCGGTGGGATCTGCTGAGGGCGGGTTTTTTTTCGTGACAACGTAACGGGTGTCCGACTGCCTGCCCAACCCGGGCTTTGGAGCTTGTGCGACGAAAAAGGCCCTTAAAAAAAAAAAAACCCTAAACCCTAAACTTCGGGGCTTTTTTTGTTTTGCCGAGGCTCGCGGCCTCCTCTGCGGGAGGCCGACTTCGTCGGGGCCGTGGTCCAGCTTGGCCACGATTTGCAGCCCCGAGAAGGATGAGTTCTGGGTTTAGGGTTTAGAGTTTAGGGTTTAGAGTTTAGGGTTTAGGGTTTAGGGTTCCCAGAGACTCCAATATTCCTTAATTAAGGAATATTCCTTAAATTATGGTAGGATCCTTCATATCATTTAAGGTATATTCCTTAATTAAGGGATATTGGAGTCTCTGGGTTCCTTTAAGGGAGCTATAAGGGTTCCTTCAAGGGAGCTGTGGCGGTTCTATAAGGCTATAGCGGTTCCTTGAAGGGGTTTTTCAGAGACTCCAATATCCCGGAATTAAGGAATACACCTTGAATCATATAAAGGATCCTACTATAGTTTAAGGAATATTTCTCAACTAAGGGATAGTAGAGTCTCTGGGTTCTTTTGAGGACTCTTTCGGGTTCCTATAAAGGGTTCCTATCAAAGGTTGTTCGAAGTTCGAAGTGTGCTATAGGGGAGTAGCAGGGTTGAGGGTGGGAGACAAAGGATCTCTTCGGGGTGAATCCTTTCTGAGGGCTCTCGGTCTTGTTTGGCTCAGGGTTTGAAGGAAACTTTAGGTGCTGGGCTTCAACGGCAGGGTCGTGGTAGGCGGTTTGAAGAGAAGCCCCGAGATTCTGTCAGAAATCCTCCGTCCCAGAATCTCTCCATCCGAGGCACTGCTTCGAAGCTTTCGCCGAAAAGACGGCTTGCATCCTCGATTTCGACGAAGTGCAGGATTTTTGCAGGGCTTGCGTGGGGAGGCACCGCGTCTGCATGCGTGGGTACATGGAGACCATGCTAGATCATCACTGTTGGCAGGGAAGCCTGAATGTTGAAAAGCTCCGAGACCAGGCACATCATCCCTGTGCAGCGCGAGCGAATCTGCAAGATCGTCGCTTGCGACGGGACGCAGCATCATCCGCGCTCCTTGCTTGGAGATAGTTCATCCCTTGGAGCTTTGAGCGCTTACGAGGTTTGCTCACGCATCTTCTGAAAGCATCGTAGTACCTGTGCCGTTACGCACGGTGATTTTCGTTGTTGGCAGAAGTGTGGAAGGGTGAAATGCCAGTCCTGCGAATCTTAGAGCGGTGCACTTATGCCTGGCTCGGTGCGTGTGACAGACTCTCCTTCAAGCCGGACTCCAGGGAACCATGTCCTACTGTAGCTGCTTCCATGGTCAGCCCCTGAAGCCGTTGAGGCTATCGGATACCACAGGTGGGGCGTGGGGCCGTAGGGAAGGGAGGGGCTGTTTGTTGGATCTGTTGGCCGAGTCAGGAAGCAAGGGGCTTCCAAACTTGCTCACACTTTCTGCAGTTCGTCTTTCAGCCTCCCTTAACCCTAAGGTTTAGGGTTTAGGGTTTAGGGTTTAGGGTTTAGGGCTAAACCCGAAACCTTAAACCTTAAACCCTTATGGAAATTGTTGCAGTTCGGAGCACAATATCAGAGAGGCCCAGAGATCTGCAGCAGGGCTCTTCACTGGGTTGCCTCTTCGAGTTGTTTGTCGCCTGTTGCTGCGAAAAGCTTCGAACTCAAGGTGAGTGTCGGGTTGAAGAGCATGCGAAACGAGCAAGGGACTGAACAGTGCCACGGAGATTCGTGGGTTTCAGACGTTTCCTTCAGGTTTTGGGCCCCAGTGCTGGTAGAGGAAAACCTTCCCTCCGTTGTTTACGTTGCCAACGGGGAGTGGCCGGAACGCAGAGAGTCCCAGACCTCTTCATCCAGGAACGGTCCTGAGATTAGACTCAGAAATATAAGCCACATACAATTTGGGGACCTTTCCACCCTCAACCCTAAATCCTAAACCCTAAAACCCCAAAGCCCTAAACCGTGGGGCATGGGCCTCTCTGGGTGCAAGCAGGGTCCGAAGTCGGGTCCGAAAATTTAGTCCATGGAGACAGTGGGCTCTACTCCTGAATAACCTAAACCCTAAACCCTAAACCCTAAACCCTAAAAGTTTAGGGTTTAGGGTTTAGGGTTTAAAACGTGCTAAGAACCGGGCCATGAACCCTCGATGACAGCATTTTTGGGGCCAGCTTGGGAAAACATTCGTCCTGCTCCTCTAGACCTCCGGGAGTTGTTTTAGAGACCCAAATCCCTAGACTCTTAACCTTCAATTCGAGACCGCCTAGACCCAAAAATAAAATCCTCAAGTCTCAACCCAACCCAAACCCAAACCCTCAACTCTAAACCCTCCACCCCAAAACCCTAAACCCTGAACCCTAAACCCTAAACCCTAAACCTCTAAACCCTAAACCCTAAACCCTAAACCCTGAACTCTAAACCCTAAACCTCTAAACCCTCCACCCTGAAACCCTTGATGGAAAGCGGCCCAGGCCGAGCTGATGCGGCGCGAGAGCCGGCGCCTCCGAGCCGCGCTCGACGGCCCAGGGCCAGGCGCGGCGACCTTCCAAGAACCCGAAGTACAGTAACGTAGAAGTTTAGGGTTCAGCGTTTAGGGT